CTATATCCTGATTGTAGTAAGATTAACTATTCAAAAGTATACTGCGTCAACCAAGAACCAGGCAATATGCCTTGAAAAGGTATTTGGATAGCCGAAATAGATGCTGCAAATGCAGGCTCCTGTTTTTCACATCTAGCAGAGCGTGCGTCAAGACAGTACAGATTTGTTCCTACTTGAACACGCAATCCCACCTCATTTCTAAACCCTCAGCAGATTAATAGCGACAAATTAGAAGGGCTGGAGAAGCTGATATAGGAAACATATGGATGGCAATGAGAAATGACAGCTGACAACCTGTCCTCAGATGAGAACACAGAAAATCTATAAAACACACAGCCTTAAAAAGCATTAGCAGACGGGGACCTGCTAGCGCTAGTGCGATCAGTAAATGACAGGGCTTGCAAACAGTCCATAAGGGCGTCACTGTATAATAGAGCAGAGTGTAATATTGATGTACCTGATGATGATCTTCTCCCGTCATGAAAAAGGATCGACTGCTGAGTATTTTTGGAAACTCAGCTCTCTGAAATGTTTCCTTCTTGAGGTTCCTGGTAAACTGAGGTTTTACTGTAATCTCTTAAACCGTAAAAATTAGAAAATGAAATAAATGGACCCTTTAAAGTGATTAATTTGTTGATAAAGCATCTATGAGAGAGATATACACATAATAGATACCTGATAAAGGTCACCTGGACATGAATATGAACGTTACTTTATGACTTTCTTCTCAAAGATTTCAGAGGAGAGATAGCTTTAAGATTTAAATTTAACTGGGTCTTGCTGGTTCTTAGACTCAGTAGCTAGTGTATCTTTATAGCCATTTACTTGTTCTTGGTGATATAGAAAAAGGACTGATAAGTGTTCTCTGGACTTTTTTGTAGAGAAGGGACTTTGTACGTGCCTAGATGCCATTAAAAGTAATTGTGATAATTGTGAAGTTATGTGCTGTAGATTTATTAGCAATGCACTACTATAATCTTTTCAAAATTTAATGTTTACTAAATACATCCAGATTTGCTTTTGTTTGTAAGTCATTGTAAATAAGCACATCGTCATATTTTTATTATGATGTTGCTCCCCTAGGGAGAACATGTTAAATGGGTCATTATTGCTACCGCCATCACTGTCCGTTGCTTGGTTCTCTGCTCTCTGCCGTACATTGTTGACATGATCCGTAGTTTCTATACCTTATGATGAACATGTAGAGAACAGTTTTGTGGAACGATTTTGCCAGCATGGTAACAAGGAACACTGAAGCTACATTTAAGGAAGATGAAATAATTACCCTGGCCACTTGCCTGTATACTCTTTTGTTCTTCTCAATTCACATATGTAATTTTTCTTAAAAAAGAAAAATCTTTTATGACTGTCTTTAGTTTTTAATCCTTGCAAATCTAATTACCCTTGCTGTTTGAAGATCATATTTTTGACCCTCTGTGAATTGGACTTTTGGTTTAATTGTTTTTCCCATTAACGGTGATGGATTTGCACGGATTTAGCCACACAGTGGTTTCCAGTTTCATTTGTATCCAGTGGCATGTTTGCAGAGGTAATGGATTTGCAGCCAGAGACGATTGCAAAGTCATGTGATACAGAGAGGCCAGACCCTGTGACCTCAGCTTGATTAGCATGGTACAGTACACATGTATATTTCAGAGATTATTATATTTTAGTACTGCAGATTCTTAGAGTGTTTAAATTTGCTATTAAAGACTTGCTTTTAATGAAAACAATATGCTGCAAGCTCACTGAGTAGTACCTAGACAGAGGAGTGCAACACGTGTTAACTGTTAGTAACAGCCTCTGTGGGTGTTGCTGCAGACCCTATCAGCCTTATTTATACAGCTCGTGTTTAGAACAAGAGCCTATAACTTCGAATTTTGTGTCACCTGTTGTTTTCAAAAGGAAGTGAGGTGTAACTACTGCCCAAATAGCCTCCGTTTAAGAGCTGTTTGTTTTGCAAGTTAAACGGGAAAGGTAAAGGTAAAGAGTACTTCTCTAAAATGCTGTGTGGGTGCCCATAATTTAAACTGATGCTACAGAAAGGAAGTACTATTTTCACAAAACATAGTGACTTAGTCATTTTCCACTTCTGGGTGACGAATGTGTCATACATCTGTATCATGTTTTTTTCTCAAAGTAAATGACATACTATATATTTAAAGTGAAGCAGGCTTTTCTGTGGAGTTGCCAAGGTAACTGACCAGCAAGTATGCAGTTCAGCAGATTGCAGAGAGGCAATAGAGTACAGATGAATAAAGAAATGTGCATGTCATCTTAAAGCCCAGGAGGGCCATGGTAGATTGTGGTTTGGCTCTGTAGATCGCAGAAATGTTGTTTTTTTTTTATGAAAGCAGATACAGATAGATGTTTTGTACTGGTCCTTGAAGTGAGGCAATAGGAAATGGCAGGTACCCTTTTATGGTTCCACTTCAGGCCCAACCAAGGGCTATATAGAAAATAGATTTCAGTATTATTTAATACCAACAACCTTTCTTTTTGCTTTCTAAACTAGCTTTTACCACCTTATGGCAGCCGAAACTAAGGGAGACTGTTAGTAGTTTATAATGTAAACAGAGGATGGTAACCCATAAACTGCTACACATATATGAGAATTAATTGAAGTTATAAAACTGAAATTTAAATTGGATATTACATATTTAGTCCACAAACATGAGACCTGTGTTGACCTCCACAGTGCTTTGTATTAGAATGTAGTCATCCATTCACTAGGCATTGATAAAATTATTCAAATATGCCACATACCTTTTAGTTGCTGAGAAAATAATGAAGGAAAATAAAATTCAGTGCTTGACTTCGAGGTGTTTTTAATCTCTAGAAAGAATAAATCAGATATGCTCCAAAGAGATTCCTTTAGATTATTTAAAATATCCCTGTGCTTTGGATGTAGGATTGTGATCTAGAATGTTAACCCCTTTACATATAAAGAGAAATAAATGCCCAGCAGGAGTTCACAACTCTCCATTATTTGATTCTTCTTCCCAGTTTTTCTCCCCCTACATTAAATATACCCCAGGATCTAGCATCACTGGTTTAATTCCCTTCCTTGAAAGGGCCCCATGGTATTCCACGATTGTATCATGCGCATGTGTTCACTGCTGAAATGCCCAAATTACCTATCTCTGAGTCTCAGAATTTTGCTAGTACTTTAAGAGCCATTTTGAATTCTACTTCTTACATAAATCTTTTCCAGATCTCTCCAGCCTTCTTTGGTCCTTACCCTCTATCTTTCAAGGTATTGCCACAGCAGTTTATACCTCAGGGATCACACCTAGTTAGGTGAGCGTTGGTCTCTCAAATCAGATGGTGAACTCATGGAAGATAGGGCCTGGGTCTCCCTCATCTCCCCACTTTCTACAGCACCTTGCATTCAGAGGATGTCATGGAATCCAACTGGTGAAAAATCTCCAGTTCTCATCTTCATGATTTTTCTGAGTCATACACATGTTTTTTGGAATGGAAATGCTTCCACCGGTGAGTTAATTATTCTTGGGTAGAAGTTGTGTACTCTAAATGCCATGGGATGGCTACTTATGAAGACTCATACAAAACGACTCAGGAAAGAGC